GATATTCACTTAGTCGACTAATTGACATTAATACTTCCTTTATTCATCATCCTCATCTGTCCCGTTCATGCACTTCGCTTTACATTTGCACACACAAACAGTAAACTTTGTTGGGAACGGCCCTTCCACAGAAGAAGTGAATTTTTTGGGAGAATCTTTCCTTTTTAGATATTTTTGCATACTGGTAGGTACTTATTGCGTGTAACAAACACACTCATTATGGGAATGTTTGATCTATTCATAACCCCGTGTACCTATGTTAGGGTTGCCAGCACCAATTTTTGAAATCCATGATTTAATGGTGGAAATACCAGGACATTTGGTTTTAAAACCAGGACACACCAATATAAAAATCTAAAAAGCATTTTGCGGGCCACTCTGTAATTGGGCGAAAGCCTGTTGAGGACCCATAACAAGAGAGGTATACAGAGGGAACGGACAGGAGGACCAACGGCAAACTGAAAAACTTTCAGCTGACATGTATACGACCTTAGCTTTTACCGGAAGTATTTTAAATGCTATAATCTTACGCAAAGTGTGGACTACATTTGATACATTTTTTAAAAATTTTTTGAAATGTTACTTACTCCTTCGGTAAATAAATTGCCATTCATAAAGCAAACATAAAACAGACCCATTACTTGTGTAGTTGTATGACTGTGTGTGTTCAAAAGGGCGTTGTTAACCTTAACTTTTTCTTACTGGCTTCTGTATTTAATTTTTTTATCACGATGTGTCCTAGAATAAATTCTTGTAATTTGTTGTCATAATAATAATAATAATATTTATTACTAATTTTCAAATTTAAAAGTTTCCCGAGAGGAGTTTTAGAAGAGAGAAGACAATAATGGAAATTTGAACTAGCTAGGTAGGCGCCTGTTTGGTGGTATTTTGATCCCGCGTACAATTTCACATAGCAATGTATAGATTTTTAGGACCAGTGTTGTAGAGATGATCGTTTTATTGTGAAGTTGGCCTCTAAAGTCTACCCGCTAAAATCTACAAACAGCTTTCCCTTATAGTTTGACTACAAAATCCCAAACTATTTATTCAATTTTTTTAATGTTGGACGACTATATCCAAGGTTATGGGAGAGAAACCGATTTTCAAATGAAAAAGGGTATAACTTGCACTGGGTCCAATCTTGACTCTGACCGTTTTGGATTCTACAGCACAAAATCTAAAGGAAAAAGTCCCAGTCGATCTAAAGTGTGTAGATTTTCGGCGTATGCTACAAGTCGCCGTTGATAACCGTTGAAACATCTATATTGTTTTTCTTTAAATTCCTACTCCACGATTTGTTAAAAATGCACAACAATAAACAAATAAAGCAACAGTGTATCAGTGCTCTAGCACCATACAAAGTTGTTTCTCCGCGTAATTTGAGGATTCGATTTCAGCACAAAAAATATCACTTCTGAAACTTTGTTAGAAGTTTGCTGGCAAGTTTTAGTTGACAGGAAACTTTCCAAAGTAATTTAAAATATCGTATATAAGGTCCTCTCGTTCCTTTTTGAACGGAAAGCCTTCAAGGTAGACGCAAAAATTCATAAATAAGATCGTCTACGACATTTATCGCATAAGCGAGCCCCACCCGATTGACAAACATTACTTTTATTGGAGTTTTCCAGAATCCGGGCATGGCAAAGGCGCATTATGTTTTATTCGTATTTTATGCAGGTAAATAGAATTCGCAGACGTGTAAACGATTTTTCGTGATTCAATAACGTGTTAGCATCGTACTTACATATTTTTTTGAAAATGTATCTATAACCGTCAGAAGCAGTGGTTGTTTCTGTGCTTCGTTAGGATAACATTCTATGTCCAGGATAATGCGAGCTCTTGTTAGTCGAAGGGTAATATCAACAAACATATCGTATTTTGTGTCATGTACGCGGGCAAACAATTTATCGGGTGCTCTATTTTTACGGCATTATGTTTACGTAGCAATTAATTTACGTTCAAATGCCGAGGGGCGTTTAATTCCATTAAGTTGTTATTTTTAGATGATCATCTACGGCATGACAAAACCAATTACTTAATTTATGAAATTTACAAAAAGCTGGAATTTTATATGCCCCTTGGCAATTTTATATGCCATCTTCATAATTTTCTAGCGTGTCGCTGTACTTCTGAGGGCCCGCATCTAATATAATTCATTATAATTCCCAAACGTAATTTACTTACCTATGTTGCAAATCGATTTGAGCTTCTTAAGAGCTTTTTCATTAGTTCAGGACGAAGTTAATTAGCTTAGCCTGATTAATTCAGGAGTTTGAACAATGCAAGTTATTTCAAAAGTTTTTAGTAATTATAAAGGTATACTTATAAAAGCGAAGAAATCATAACAAGAAAATTTAAACCTAAACAAGGCATTGTTTTTTCTACCACTCAAGCGAGTAGAAACAAAACCGAAGGGTATCCATAAACGATTTACAAGTAACCCTTCACCTAGAAAGTTTCTCTTTTCAACAATGGAGGTTTTTTTCCAGACAAATTCATCCACCGACCGGCCAAGTTCATTCAGTTCACAGAGCAGTTCATCTGCACTGAGCCTTAATTTTTCTTTTCATAATTCTATCGTGCCCACCGGGGCAACCACGCTGATCGAGGCAAACAAGCCCAGAGCGGGTAACAGAACCACAAGCCCATTCGATACTCGCAGGGAAAAAAATTATTGGAAAGTTGCAATTGTTTTAAGGGTGCTAATTAGCGCCTTTTATGAAAACGGCTCCACAAATAAAAAGATTGTTTTATTGGACACTGGACAAATAGAAAGAAATGAAGCAGTTATGTAGTTAATACCCCAAATTTACTTTTAATTAACACTGCATTTTATATTTGTACTTACTCGGGTTTGAAGGTACAATTAGACTATCAGAAAATGATATATAAATACAACAAAATGAATGAGTAAATTAAATTAAAATAAATTAATTAATAAAATGGCACAAAGGAAGGGCATTTTAAATAAATGAAATTTATTGCATTTCCGTAAGTCGATGTGTTTTACTATTTAGCTAACGAGATTAGCAATTTATTGCAGAGCTAAAAGTGAATTCGTAATTGAATGTTGTAATTAAACTTTGCAATCCTTTGTATATTATGTGCTCCAACTTATTTATGCCCTTTTTTTTGTTTTGCCTCATCACTGAAGTAAAGGTGAAGAAATGTCTAAAGAATGGTTAAAAAAAGACCTAATTGTTAAAAGGGCAAAGGTCTAGTTTCTACAATGCTTTTTCCCATTGTTTCCACAACTCGCCCCCTTTATTGCAACGCGCAAGGAAAAAGAAACATAATTTTGGAAATAGAGATAATTGGTTTTCGGGTTCTTTTCTTGATGTGTTATAACTAAATATCCAAATTTGATGGTGAAATTTTTAGTTTTTGAGAGTGTTATGGAAGATTCAAGAAATTCATGCGAAAAATATTGTAATAAAAACTCCCTCATACTCTAATATTAACAAGATAACTCCTAAGTATCGCGTACGGTTTTCAATAAGGCAATTTTTTGCCACTCAGCTCGAATTCGGAAACCAGACTTTTAATCCGGCTCATATTCAATAGCACAACTATAGTGCAATTTAAATTAATTACCGCAACTATTTTCCTTATTTTTGGTTTTTCTGTTAAATTTGTAATAATAATAATAATAATGACATTTATTTCCACGTAATACCAAAACCAAATAAGTATAAAATATATATAAATGAGTAACACATAATGTATACGGGAAATGGGACTACATTCAGTGTTTTGACAACCCTGTTCTTCCATGTAACCCCAACTCGTTATAGGAAAATAAAATATAAATTGTAAATTACGCTAGCACTCAGGAACAAATTAATACTTGAATACAAAGAGAGGAAAGCAAACAAAAATAAAAATACAAGTATAAGTACTAAAATCTTAAGACACACCAGTTCATTTAGGTAGCTCCAGTTTCAGATATTGTCTGATTTTATTTTTGAAGCCGAGAGGTTGAAGATTTTTAAGAGGGGACGGAATCATGTTATACAGCTTACATATATTATATGTGAACGATTTTTCAAAGTAAGCAGTGTGATGGAAAGGGATATTTAGTAGACCTTCTATGGCGCAAATTTAGATTATGTAAGCTAGTTCTATATTCTAAACGATCAGCTAGGTAACTTGGTGTTTGGGTGATAATAACCTTATGGTAAAGAACTAGAGAATGCAACATTCTACGCTGAGACATATTAAGCCATCCCACCTCGATCATCTTATGTGAAATGTGATCTCTGCGCCCAATGCCATAAATAAATCTCAAACAAGAATTCTGCACTCTTTGTATACGGGTGGCAGTAGCTGTGTCAATGCATGCATGAAACAAAACATCACAATAATTAAAATGTGACAAAACAAGGGTATCTGTTAGGGTTATTTTGGTTTTAGTAGATAAAAGATGTCTATTCGGATACAAACGCTTTAGAGTAGAATATGCCTTGCGCAAACAATTATTAATATGGCTAACATACTTAAAGTTAGAGTCCATTAAAACTCCAAGATTTCTTGCATCGTGCGACACTTTCAATACCGATCCTTGCACTTTAATCCTAATGAGATCCAAGTTCTGGATTCTAGCTTTATCTCGTCCAAAAAGCAGCACAGTGGACTTTTTTGCATTAATAAATAAATTATGGTTTGTAGCAGTTCGGACAAGCACTTCAAGTTCTTTATTTATTAATTTTATTACATCAGATGTATCAGACGGTGGGAATGAACAATATACCTGTGTATCATCAGCATACTGATGAAATTTACAGCTTTTAAAGTCCCTGCAGATATTATTTGAATATATGACATATAAAAGTGGCCCCAAAATGGAGCCTTGTGGGACTCCACTATGTACATCAAGTAAAGAAGATTTAATGTTATCCATAAGCACACAATGCTGCCTACTTTAGCACACAATGCTGCCTACTTTAAAAAATTCTGGATTCTTTTTGCATTTTTATCGTAAAATTTTGCAGAATATTTGTGAGGTATTACTTCAAATTAAAAAAATGATTCGGAAAATTAATGGCAGAGTTGCTTGACCGACATTATTATTATGAGTAAGTTCCTATACCAAACAGTCACACACCGCAAGACTTGCAAGAAATTTGCAAGAGAAGACAAGACAAGAAGTGACTAAGCTCTTGCAATAATTTGCAAGACAAGACAGCAAACAAGACAAGAAGTGGCAGAAATAAATTTGCAAGAAAGGGCCATTTCTTGTCTTGTCTTGCCTTGCGAGAATCACTAAACAAAATGTCCTCGTTGCTAAGACACATTGATCAAATGACGTCTAAGTTGCAAACGGAATTTTCAAGAATGAGTACCCACGTTTGTCTCTTCACCCACTTATTTAGTACTTTGAGAACACTAAAGTTAACACTTAACCTCGCACTTAACTCATTCTCACTATAGATCGATCATTGCATATCCGCTTAAAACGGAAGGGAACATTTAATGACAGCTTTAATTTGCCGAGTACTTGATACAGTTTAGGGTCTCTCAACTAAAAGGGACGATTGTACGTGTACTGGTGTACTACACAAGTTCAGTGACTAAATGAAGAAATGTTCCTGTGTAAAATTCAAGAATTTGTTCACTACTCTGCACGGTATACAACCGGCCGAACTATAAACATGTCTTGCTGAAGCTATGAGCACTCTGCAGATCCACTAACCAAAATTACAACAGATTCAGCAATTGACATTATTTTTCCATTAAAAGAATTCGTTAGCTATTTTCCATTTACGATCATTCAGCGTTTTCCTACTGTTAATTCAATTTTAGTCGCACGAACCTGTTCGTCTTTTGGGAAATTAAACTACTAATTAATGAACGTATATACGCACAAATTAGTTACGTCACAGTCACAACCAATATTAATTAGGCAGTATTAACTACGTCACCTTGTTACGACACCAACGTGAATGTTAAACGTCATTCCCCTATCTTAATGTTTGAATTTTGGAACGGATCCTTAAAGATCAAAATGGTGTAGTACAAATCAAATAGCATAGAATAAATAATAATTTTAGAGCGTTTTGTTTAGGCATTGTATTTCTTCAGACAAACGGGGAATTTTGAACTATCTGCAAATCTGCATTAGTTAAAAAAAATTGAACTGGAAAATCTAGTTAAAGATACCCTTTGCAGTATAGTTGCACTCGACTTATGCACATTCTATGGGCAAGTCCTACTTTTCATGAAAAATGTTAATTTGATTTCAGTGTTATCGTTGTTAATTGTGGGAAATTAGTTAGCGTCAATCTCGAAACTGTTGCCCTACCATTACTGGGTACCTGTTTCTTATAAGAGGGGACCAAAAGGCGACTCTACTCAGTTTCTGCCGCAGTGCATCAATGTAAGTATTTTGTCGCTTATCGTAAGTTATGCACCTTTAATTTAATTTTAAAATACTAAAAAATCACGAAAATTCGTACGATGGCACCTGCCTTCTTGTAGTATAAATATTATGAATTATTCTGTTTTAAAATATTGACTCTTTACGTGTTAAATATTCAGCAGCCAAATATACATTAAGTAAAATGATTTAAAATATCTATTACGAATCAGGGTGTTTTCAGGCAACTTATCTTAGTTCTAAGTAACATTCCTACATTCTGCCGAATTAATTATCAGAATATCCATATTTTTGTAAACTTTGAATTAGATAAACCTTCGCAATTTTTGGTTTGAACTAATGTTTTGTAAACTGAAATCTCTCCACTTATCTAAGGAAATTGCTTACCTATGTTTAAACTGCACTAGTTAGCCACGTGCGTAAATTATATCTGTGTTAGGTACTACACACGTTCCTATCAAAGTTGTGCCAATTTTTATAAGTATAGACTCCGTTATGGTTTAAAATTTATTTTTCCTCATCCGCTGATCTTCTGTATTTTGGGGAACAATATCAAATGACATACATTTTTCTTGTATTAATATTTTTTTGCTTTTTTGCGGAATAATAGGTACAACTTTTTGTAATCCCCCAAGTCTTAACTTAGTTAATCCAGTTTATTCAATTGTTTAATGTTTATTGACCTGTGTTCCCATTTTTCACTATCTTCACCAAGACAAATGCCTTGTTTGTTGCTTGTTTATATTACAAATTATGATTGTAGATAAATCTGCGAGAAGTATTGCTGCTATCTACTACAAGAGTTCAATGGCAAACAATGCGATTGTACTCTTACACGTAGTTGTGCTAAATATGCGTATAAGATTTTTGTTACTTTATTTGAACTACACAATCGAGAACTAGGTGACGTTGATCCCAACCTTAGACCCTTTCAATCTTGCTTTCTATCAATCATGACAATCTTCCTAAAAACCTTTTATATTTAGGCGCTGTTTTTATGTACTAAAAGCGATATTGAAGATACAACTAAATCATAAACCTTTTTCACATTTTCTTGTATTTATTATGTAAGATCTCTAGTGGTCCTCCATGTAATGCCTCATGCCTCAACTGTAGCAAATGTCTGGTGTTGTATTTTACGTTTCTAATCGTGTGATACCATTATACATTGTCACAACGTTGTCGAGGATCTGGGTCATTGCTATAATTGTGGTGTCAGAAGATCACTCCGACAGTGATTGCTTTACATAACGCCTCCAAGACTAAATTAATATTTGCAGATGCTGTCCTGGTTTATAACGTTCTTCTTGGCGTCACTACTATTCCGAGTCGCCTATTTTTTCATCACACGAAACTATGACTACTGGAAGAAGAGGGGAGTCCCTTACATCAAGCCGAAGCCGATTTTCGGAAGCATTCTGGAGGTCGCACTGGGTCGAGCACATCCCGGCAAATACATCGGTCAGTTTTACTCAAAATTCGACAGTCCCTACTTCGGATTCTTCGCATTTAAGAAGCCCTACCTAGTGATCACCGATCCCGAATTGATTAAAACGGTACTTATTCGGGACTTCAACGTCTTCCCGAATCGTTACTTCGTCAGTGACAAGAAGATCGATCCGGTCATGAGTAGTGGCCTTTTTGCAATTCACAACCCGACGTGGAGGTGGCTACGTCAAAAACAAAGCCCGTTTCTATCCTACGGCAAAATCAAGCTAATGGTACCACTCATTCAGGAGTGTGGCGATTGCTTAAAGGATTACATTAATGACAACGTTGGGAAGATGGTGGAGGTTAAAGAAATGTCCGCGAAATATGCCACTGACGTAATTGTCAGATGCGCTTTTGGTATTAGTGCAAACTCGTTTGTATGTGAAGATGGCTTTCGTTTGGCAGGCAAAACTATGCTCAGCCAATCCTTCATGAGAAGTTTGAAGATATTTTCATATTACTACGCGCCCTTGCTTGTAAAAATTTTTAAATTTAAATTCATTGAGCCATCTGCCGTGGATTTTGTTAGAGAAGCATTTTTGGAAGCTTACAGAGCGCGCGAGAAATCTGGTGTTAAAAACAGAAGGCAGGATCTTATCGATATTCTGATTGAAATGAAGAACGAGGGTGCCGAATTTGAAGGTTTCAAGTTAGGTAAGTAATACCCTGTGTTTTTATACAAATTTTATTAGTATAATTTACAGACGAGGAAAATTTAGTGGCGCAAGCCGTGACCTTATTTTCATCTGGATTCGAGGCGGCTGCATCCACTTTGGCATTCACGTTACACGAACTAGCTGTTAATCCAGAGATTCAGCGCAAGCTTAGAGCCGAAATTAAACACGTGGTTGAAAAAGACGGCGATGTGTGCTTTAGTGGCATTCAAAGCATGAAATACCTAAATATGACCATCACTGGTAAAGCAAAAAAACTCGAGTTATTGGTGTCGTTACTCACACAACCTTTTAGAAACCATGAGAATGTTTCCAGCGACCTCTTTTATACACAGGGAGTGCTTGGAAGACTACAAGATACCATCTACGGGATTGGTGATTGAGAAGGGAACACCAATCATAGTCGGGCAATATGGGCTTCATTACGATGAAAGATACTTTCCAGAACCTCATATTTATAGACCCGAAAGATTTAGTGATGAAAATATGAATCAGATAGGCAGATGCACGTACTTGCCATTTGGGGAAGGTCCACGTAGTTGCATAGGTAAGCCGTAAAATTACGGGTGGCTTTAATTACATCGTTATTATAGGGCAAATGTTGGGTGTTCTTCTTGTGAAAGTAGCGGTTGTGGAAATTCTGAGAAATTTCTCGATAGAAAGACACGCGTCTACAGTAGAACCAGTGATATTAACACCTTTTCCAATTGTGCAAGCCAAAGGAGGATTACCCCTCATGTTTAAACATTTAAGTGATAATTTTTAGTTTTTACGGTTTTATACCTAAGTTTATAATAAAAGTAATTTATGATGTGTATTCCTGACCAATACCATTTTTAGAGGGTGTGTAACCATTCCATCATTAGTGTCCCGGAATGGAAACGAACTAACCATTCGTTACAGGGTATGAAAATGTCAGAACCGACTTCTAAGCCGTTGAGCTTCGTTGAGGTTGCCGAGGGTAAAATGCGTTCGTTTTTGAGTGTATCCAATTATCCATTAAATTAAACCGTACAGTCGCGGCAGAGGCATTTGCAGTGGTTGAAAACTGAAAGGCATTACACCTCTAGACCATGATATTCTTATTAGCATTATAAACTACGTTGGTTTAGCAAACATGTTACCGTCCTAATATATCGCCTAATATGCACAAGAAAAGTGACACAATTAGAAACAAACAATTTTACAGGGGATCAAATTTTAAATTTAATTTCGGGAACATTGCACTATAGACGCCGTTTATTAGACAAAAATTTAGCAAATCTTAAATTTTTATATAGGGGTGACCTCTAAGTGACAAAATTAATAACGTAGTATACAATTAGTAGAAGTATTACATAATAATTAAAATAAAACAAATTAAAATTTTGATTTGTCATTTTCCTTAATAAAAGTGAATAGGCAAAAATTGATTGTACTCGTAAATATTCAGAAGTTTATTTTATTGAACAAAATTTACAAACTACAAAGTATTATAAAAATCAAAATAGCGCATAGGGATTGATTTTTTTGGAAATAGAGATAATAGTCCTTTCTTTTTTTATCATCAACACCGGGTTTTACTTTATAGAGCTTTTTAATTTCATTTTTCTCCTTTCCAATTTTTCTTAAACCCTTAGTCTCCATAGTGGAATACATTTCTTCACTAAATGAGAGTATATAAAGGGTGTTTAAAGGCTGATCTTTGTTAAATTTTATTATTCTTATATCGCTAGCTGATATTTGTTTTCCAAAATTACGACAGTTAGATAATTCCTTATGTTAAGGAAGTCTTCGTGCATTAACTCTACAACTTCGTAAGGTCGACCTTTCTTTTTAGCAGCCTCAAGAGTTTTTAAGTTATAAATTGTAAAGTTGTAAACTGATAGTTTGGAAGTGTAATAGAAACCGGATATTTCTCCCTTTGGACAACTAATTCATCGTCTGTATTAGCTTTATCCTTTTCCTTTTCAAGTCGTGAAAGGTCCTTTTCCATTAAGTGGTTTTCGTATTTTTCTTTCAAAGCTTCCTTTTCATTTTCATCACTATTGAGGTAACAAACACAATCTTCGCACTGATCTTTCTTAAAAGAATGAAATATTAAAGTCCGTTTTAAAAATATTGTTATACATCAAAAGTTGGCGAATGGCAAGTTTTCTTGTTGACGTTGCTCCACATAATCCCTATGAAGCTGAGACACCGTTTTTCCACCTTCAATATACTCTCGAACTACGACGATAGTGGCTTTCAATTCTTGGGATACTATTTATATGGGTTCGCACACTTTCTTTTATTTCATCTTCGATATGGAAATGACAGTTGTGCTTTCCCCTCAAATCCACATCAAGCATATTTTCGGAGAACATTGCCTTTTTTTTCTTTATAACTGTTCTTATTGGACGATCTGTTATTCCCAAAGTAGATTTGAAGAAAGTTTTACAGACTCTTATTTTAGGTCCGCCTATGGTAAAGTAAAAAGCTTGATTATTAGTGCGAAGCTGCCCTCTCTTACGTATCTATACTTAGGATGAATGACTTCCATACATTTTGCTAAAAACTCCCGTTGACGCTGTAATTCTCCCACTTTCCAATAGTCTGTAAATATTCTAGTCCGATCATCTATCGATATTTTTCAAGTACATTTCAATTTACACGTTTCAGAGCAAGGTTTCCATAACTTTCTAGCAGCATAAACTCGCTTACTTTTAGAAGAAGAAATGTATTCTTCGCCTAGATTGCCTTTCCGCTTTGCAGTTTCTTTTTTCCATTCCGATGGATTAGCTTTCTTCTTTTTGCCTTTTTGTACTGGTGTCTCAATTACCTTTTCATTTTCGGTAACATTTTCTTTATTACTAGATGTAGAGGAGGCCGAGGAGGATGTATCTTGGTAATAGTTAGGATCGGCAATACTATACCGTCAGAAGAGACTACATCGGGACGGTCTATATAATTTTCGTCTAATTCATCCATCTTGGTTTCTTGTACACCACTGCATTCTGCCATCGGATATGGTTGATCTTGTGAGGTTGTGTTATCGATTAGATTTTCGTGAACATCTTCGCGTTCTTGTTCATATTCATCGACCAGCGGCACATTTTGGAGCCAAGTATATACTATTTTTGAAGTTTCTTCTTTCGGGACATTACTTAAGTTAGCTAGAACTGGAACAACTACCCCGTGGTTTGGAGGAGAAACATTAACTGTTTTTATTGGTTTCCAAATCTCTTGTTCTCCTTGCACATTTTCGCCCTGATTTTTTACTAGCTTAAGTATAAGCTTGGTGCGTCGTGACATTATGGTTGATCTGAAACTGCAGACGTATTCAAATGCCGAGTAAATCAAGGAAGCTGTCATAATTAAAATAAAATAAATAAAAATAATATTCTTTACAATAGAAAAGTGACACAAATCGAAATAAAAAGTCAAACGGTTAGCCGAGTAGATTAAAAGTCGACTTACCTTAATCATCAAGAGTGTCACAATTCTAAATATGTCACTTTTGTTAATAAATGAATCGCAATTTAAGAGCGCACTTCTCAACAATTTGTTTTATGTCGCTTTTCTTAATAATTGCCACACAAACTCTTTCAATAGCTAGACATAAACTGAATTCAGTCGCTTTTCGTAAAAATCTTCCAGACATTCCCCTCTTTTATGAAAAATGACACAACTCCATCTATTGGTTTAATATTGTAAAATATTTTGTGACACTTTACCACATAAAAATATCATCTATTGTAAACCAATAATGATCAAAATCTCAAAAATTGGAGTTTTTGACTTGTGTCCCTTTTCCTGTGCATAGGCGATATGCTACTAATACCTGTAGAGGTATCAAGTAAAGAACCTCTCAGTTTGAATAGTTTATTACCATTGCACCGATTTAGTTGGCAATCACCTAAGCTGGAAAGTGCTATTTAATATTGTTAAGTCAACAGTTCCACAGCACCTTCAATACGATATTCAGCGACTTCCTAACTTTGCTCTTTCAGATGTGATTGGGTTTACAACGTAACATACCACATGGGTTACGTAGAGATTTTCGTCATAGATATTACCATCAATAAAACACTACTACTTGCAAAGTACTCCGTTCAAAGCGTGGTGTATAAAAGTATATTATACTTACATACCATGGTTCGCAAAACCTCCGATTGCAAATGGACTGTGATTAACTGCTTTTAAGCAACATTTAAGACTGATATTAAGCAAATTTATTACGCCAGCATCTGAAAGTGCCATTATATGAAGCTCATTGCATTTATTGCGATGTGGTTTAAAGTCCGTGCCTTGAAAGTTTGGATCTTGGCAGAACAAAAAAATACAAAATTCATGTTTACAATTGATATTCCGCATAAAATGGTTAAAAAAGAACAAACACGCCGGGCTTTAGGTACTAAATCTGACTTTGACCAAATGCTCGGATTGCTCGCCAACCAGCTTTATTCGTAAAATTCGGGTGAAATGCACTTGCGCAACAATCAGTTTTATACCATCGCTCGTACTCAAATGGAAAAAGCAAAAATAATTAATGTTAAAATTCAGAGCATTCTGAAAAACGGTAGAAAAGGCGACATTTTTAGCACCACTTTGACCCAAATATGAAAAATCGTGTTGTTTCACTTCCGACCTCAATTGTGACCCTTCCATCGTGTTCCTGAACCCCAAAAACGTGGGTCCAGACTCTTCAACTGTCAAATTCGGACATTTTAGGCGGATAATATGCCAGGGTCGATTTTCAGACTTGGCAACACGGTCGAAAAGGGGGAAAACCACTTGTACTTCAATTGTTACACGAAATGCTTCCATAGTACTTGAATTTTCTCAAAACAGGCCCAGACCATCCGACACGATTTGACGTTTTTACATTAGACTATACAAAGCCGCCGGCGGTTCGGCCGCTGCTCTGATTTTGTTCAAGCAAAGTACAATATTATCCAGTCCGGGTGCAGTGTCCATAGAAATTCCTTACATGGCATTGATAGCCGAAGGATTTCTTGTTCTTCTTAGCGAAATTTCCTGTCATAAAACGAGCGAATGTTACTAATAGACGTTGAACATCTCATTGAGAAAGCCTCTCCTATTTCTAATGTGGTATTGGAACATGACAAGGACCGGACTGGTCTTAATTCATAACTTTACGAACAACTCTTTTGCGTCTGTGATAGTAGTCAAACTGCGTCAATTCGGGTGAGCCGAAGCTATATAAATCGCAACTCCATGATTTCCATTAAAAAACTTGCCGCAATGAAGGCATTTCGCCTGGGTCGAGGTCTGAGAAGTATTTAAATGTGTTTATTTTTCATTTTCCTATTATATGCCAATTATATCTGTCATATGTACATATAAAGCACTCTATGACGCCCGAGGGCATAATTGATTGTCATCTCATTACCTATGCCCTCAAACGGCCTGTCTAATATATTGATGGAGTTATATTATGTAATAAAAAAAGATGCTACTTGATTCGTATGAAGCACTTTAATGTGAGCAAACAATAATCATTAGATTTGTATATTGCAAATGCATTATTTGGAACGATGAAAAACAAAATTTTGCACCTCAGACATTACTCGAGATTTAACCCTCGGGCGACTTTACAATCCCTCGGACCGGAGGCTCTCGGACTCTGTGGGGTATACCAATATGAATTGCAAGACCAAGGTTTCCATTTTACTACTACTATTTTAAATTTTCTGGGCTCTAAGGGCCGTTATCCAGTTTATCTATATGACAACTGACGTTCGATCACTGTCCGATTTTGAACATTTCTTTATCAGAGACGACGGTTGTGGCATAAAAAGCATCCCATTCTTCACACTTTGTCTGTTAAACCAC